TGGGCAAACAATGGAAGTCAAATCTCTATCTAAAAGAAAAGTGACTTGTGTTGGTTCCTAAGAGGGCTTTGCTTTCACTGCTAGGTCTGTTCATTAGTAGCAACTGCATACAATGTGCCTGGTTTATTCACCTCTCCATGAAAATAGAGGGCTGCTTTCTGAAGATGCAGTTTGTGCTTAATGCAAAGCAGTGGTGACAGGCACACCACTGATGAAGGAATCCTCTCAGCCCTGTATAAATCACTGCAGCTTCACTGAATTACATCAGATAAAAATTTGGCTGTTGGTGTTCCAGCTCAACTTTGCCATGCATATTCTTTTGACACTAAGTGCTTACATACAGATACCCATGCATAGGGTACTGAAGACATATTCATTATTTCTCAATATTTTCCTTTGAGAAGGAAAAACAATCCACAAAAAGGGGTGAAAAGCAATGATTTGATGAGGTGTGCAGAAAAGTAGTGAAATATTGACACGCCACACAGCAAATCAGTAATGGAATCATGAGCTAAAGCCTGAGAAGGTGCTACACCCCATCCTACAGCTCAACAATCCAGGACATGGTGCCTTCCCTATAGCAGGACCAGGAACTGGCAAATTTTTGCCAGGGAGTTGAGGAGTCACCCCTGAGTTCCAGGGAAAACTGCAGAGATGGGACCTGTTAAGTTCATTACATTTTAGCTTCTCCTACCTCCTCCACCTGTCCCAAAAGCTGAGAATCCACTGTTCTGTGTGCCAAAAGTGGTACCCTGTTGCGACAGCGATCCAAATGTCGGAGTATTTTGATTTGCTAGCGTGCCAAACGATGCTGTGTTGTTACTGGTACCACCAAACCTGCAATTTAAAGAGAAAATTTGTGTTTACAAGCATCTTCTCACTTACACTGAAAGTTTGTTCCCATACCTGCAATGGTAACAGTGCGCATCTTAAATGAGGATACATCCAAGGAGTGATAATATCCGATATGAATAACTAAAATAGTTCATTCTAGAAACAGTTTCTAGTTTGGGAAAGACTATTGTACATACAATCATCTGTTCAGCTCCCATTCTTACTCTACACCAGGCAGAAAGGCAAATATAGTCATGCTTACACAGGGTATGTTTTCAAGTGCTTGGAAATGCCAACTCCAGCCATCAAATGGAATATATTAATTCACCCCTGTGTGTAGTGTTCACCCCTTAACCTCAAAAGTACAGCACTGCTTTATTTCACAAACAGGGCAGCAAACATGGAATGGGTATGAGCTGCTCAAGGCCAGAGCACAAAGCAGAGCCCAGACTCCCACCTTTCAGATGGTACCTTACGCATTGACCATGTAAACCATCTGCAGAGTTCTCAATTCCTTTCTCTCCCCAGCCCGTTTTGAACCTCACACATTTCCAGGGCTTTCCTGAAGATCTGCACCTACCTGGCACTTCTCCCCACCACTTTTGGATTATTTCTCTAGTTGCTTTTGGGTACTGAAAAAAGAAACACTTTTATACACTGTAATCGGTGTCCTTTCTCCTCCCACTCTGTCCAGCCAGACATGGTAGAGCTACCAGCATGACACACAAATGAGACCATGATACGCGTTATGGTTCTTGGCCCTAGCCATACATTTCTCCCAATTCTGAATGTAAGAGGTGCACTCAAAAAAGGAGCTTTGAGCGCTTCTCTAACTTAAACTGGGCAAAATGCAGACACAAAACTTTCAAATGAGAAGCTCTACTAAAGCTCTGCAAGTGCACAATGCTACTGGTACAAACCCAGTGCCAGCCCTTCCCTGAGCAGGCCAAGTGAAACGGCAGCTTTGCAAGGCTGTGCCTCACACAAGCTCCTGTCATTTCTGACTTAAAATATGAACTGACAGCACGTTAACCCACCTCTCCATCCATCCAGATCTAGTAGACTTTAAAAAAAACCAACAAAACCCAAGCACCACATCAAAACGTATCTCTTCAGATAAAAGACAACCCTTGTAGCAGTGTGACAAACAACTCACCTGGTAAAGGACATCAGCTCTCCTATCCCAGACACTGTCAGCCATACACACTATTTCCACATACAGCATTAGACACAACGGGCAGTGCAGTGACTCTGCACTTTTGGCCGTGCTAACCATTCCCCTGCGCCTCTGGCTTAGCACTTGACCCACAGACCTTGCAGATAACTTCAGCTCAGAACCACAAATGTGGTTTTTCTCAGCAAGGGCAGAACAGATTTTGTATTTCTTTTCTAAAATCAGCAAGATGGGGTGATGCATTTGAGAAGGTTTTTCTAGTGCTCCATCTCCTCAGGACTATGCCACTAAACATAAAAGTCATGTCTACCCAGTGAAAGGGAGGTGAAAATAGTGACAAGGAAACTTGTGGTTCAACTGCCCTTCAGTCACAACTAGAAGAACACGTCTGTTGAAAAATGCTAAATGCTATTGTAAGAGCAGAGAAACAGCTTAAGCAATAGACAGGTATTTTTTTAAACATATAAAAGACATGAGACACAGTCATTGCCTGGTAACAATTTAATCAAACCTATCTTGCCCAGATTTTCAGCTCTTTTGTAAAGCTCCTATACAAAACAGAATTGAGAGACAGTTGAGGTGAGTTTATGAAAGCAAAACATTATTTGCTCACAAACAGTCAGGATTGCAGACTTTGAAGAAGTATAGTGGTTTCTATTTTTGATACTGAAGTCATTTATCAAGCGATGCAGATTTCTCAGAATTGAAGCAGCAATGAATCACATATATTTAAGGTAGCAGGGTGTTCTCAGGAACTCGGAGCTAATACCACACCATGTACTAGCAAGTAACTTCTCTGGATTTGGGATTTTTTAAATTTCCCTTCCAGAAAAAGGCAGAAAGGAAGACCTGCACAAGTGCTGCATTATACCACAGAATTAAACCACTGCTCAAAATTTCATGGTGAGATTTGGAGTTTCGTAAAGCTGCCTGAAATTTCGCACACACTTTTAAAGTTTTTAACATCAAAATCAAATTCCTCAGGCAACTCTGAAAATATCAGACTCAGTCTGCACCTTTCTAATAGAGAAGAAATTCTCCAAACTTCCCACAAGTTAAGCCACTGAATTATCTTTCTTGAGTCTGCAGACAGCTTATGCAAGACCTTTGTTTCCATCACCATGCTGCTTGATGCTGGATCCCATTTTATCTTTAAGCTTCACGCGTTGTCACTGAGCACATCATTTCAGTACAGAATCCTGCAGCACAATGGCTGCAAGTTGGAACTGAACAAAAGTATCAGTTGGGTTGAAGCTAAGTTGTCCCTACAAGCACATCCTTCTTTGCTGGGATTTAATTAGGCTGCCTCTATTTTTACCCTTTCCAAAGGGACTCTCCAATTTGCTGCAGGATGTGGCAGAAGAACCTCCCACAGCTCAGGGGTGACCTGGTGGATGGGTATCTCCTGCCTAACCTCGGGAATGAACAAGTTACGCTGCTGATCTTCTAACATCCCTTACATAAAGGCAGTTCCTCCTGAAACTAAGGACAAGCACTTGCGAAATACGTAAACATTAAGTTTGGAAAGACATCCAGTTTCCTCTTTTCACTGGAAGTTTTTATTTGTTTTAATTGGGTCTGTTTGGTCTGACTATAACTGTAGGGCAATGTTGAAGAAGTTCATTTGCTGCCTATTGCTGAAGCTGCTTTGTGAGGTTTGAAATTCTGTGCTTCCTGAACAAAACAAGAAATAAAGCGGTGTCTACTTTGGTGCCAAGCATAGGCTCGAGGGGCAAAGAAATGCGTAAAAAACAATCAGTGTGGATAAACACACATTGCTCTGGGAGCACGGACTGCTACAAGTGCTTCCTCCGATCCCTGAAGAGTGAAGGAACAGACTGAATTCCCATTATATCTCTAGCCCAAACCTCACAAGTGGATAAGGCAGCTAGACAGAGTCACAGATAACAGTATTTATTATTTTCTTTACTAGGCACAGTTTGTAGGCCTAGATTTGAACTCATTAAGTGTGCACACAGAAAATACTCCTGCATTCCCTTAGATACTTGCAAGATGACTCACATTTCCCCCCCAAACTATAAAGCTGAAGATTGAACACAGCAGTTTCAGCACTAAAATGAGATCATACACATTATTTCCTTTGAGGCTAAAGTCTTTTAAGCCTTTTTAATTTTTTTTTTTAAGACAAACAAACAAACAAAGGACATTTAGAGCTTAGCAGTCAATCACAGCACACATTCTTTATGTTAATGCAGACGTAACTAAGTGTAATAGTTTTCGTCATGCAAAAAATATTCCTTTCCCAAACCCTGGACCCTGGTTGGCTTACCCAAATCCTCCAGCGCTGGCTGCTGCTGTACCCTCGCCGAACACTTTGCCTCCCGTTGAGCCCAGAGGGCTTGAAAAGGTTGGGGCTGAACCGAATGCTGGCATCCCTCCGAACCCAGGGGATCCCCCGAAAGTGGGAGGGCTGCCAAACACTGGAGCAGCACCGAAGCCACCTGAGCAAAACAGAGGCAAAAAAGGGACAAGAACATCACGTAAACAATAATGCAGAAAGAGATAACAAAAACTTGTTTTCCAAGTAGACAATTTCCATAATGGGGCTCTTCATCTCAGCACATGGACACAGCATTATTTATAAAACTAACTGCCACAAAGCTTCCCAACTGCAGGGTATTTTGTTACAGAAGACATGGATAAGAAAAGTGCCTCAATGCACGCAAAAAACTGCAACAGAATTAAGAGACTATCAGAAGAAAGCCACATTCTGGGTCTCTTGAACATCTGAGCATAAGAACAACTCAATCCCCAGAGCTGTACTAGAAAGGTGGTAAGATATCATACAGGTTAGTACACTGTAAGGGAATCTCTGCTTGTGTCATATAAATAAGACCAATATCTTACATGTGAGATAGCAAACATTCACAATAACCAAATTACAATAAAAATACATATAACAGTTGATAGAGTGATGCTATTATCATAAAAAAGACACATCCATCTTTCATCAACAAAATAGTGCTTCTTACCGGAAAATAGAAAAAAAAGTTTAGCTTATGCAGTCAGTTTTAAATTAAACAAGTTGTTATCCAAAGGAACTGCATATAACAAAGCAGAATGCAGAGTCTCCTGTGAAGGTCAGCTTCATGAACATTTGCTGCTGTGGTCTGGTTGCAGTGCTTTACCCTGGTTTCTAATCTAGAGCTCTGGAAGGACAAACCAGTGTCCTGAGGACAGGAATTGATGCATACAAGTGCTGAAACTGGAAGAACTCCTCAAAGCAATGGGCAGGTCTCCCCCATCTCCTAAGGTCAGACAGTAGATAGCAAACTTGTTTTTGAGGTACTCCAGTGATGCAAAAAGACCCAGGAGGTAGGGTATTATCTAATGCTGGTTTAAGTGGTGGAAACTAAGACAATGATTAAATGCCAGGTCAGTGGAACTGCACGATCCCTGCAGGGAATCAAGAACTGAACTCTGCTCTTGGCAATTCCTGTTCAGCATTTGGCTGCTTTTGCAGCTCTGAATGGACTTCTACCCAGATTATTTTATTCTGTGTTCATCTGCTGATTATTATTGGCCTGTTTCTAACTGACACTGTGGAACATGAAGGACACCTGCTCTTTTCTTTGACTAGAGCTGAGGACTGGGATACCACCACACATTTTAATACCCTGGGTGAAATTCCAGTCCATGCCAATGTAATGGATATTGTTTGGCTGTAAATACAAAGGGTCTGGAAAAAATAAATGCTAGGCCTGAATTATTTAAACACAGATCAGATATCTTGTTACCTCTATCTCTAAGAAGTCAGAGTATTTATCAGAGGGGCTGAAGCTTTGCTCAGCATTTTACGGTTTTGCAATGCATATTGTCAAATAGTGGAGAAAGGAAATGCAAGTACTGAAACCAGGACAAAGGGGGATCCAAATCAAGTAGAGCCTTCCACTGCAGATGGGAGAGGAAGACACACCACTCATTTCAATATTTAGCAAATATAACCATAGGAGGGAAGATTTGAGGCTCTGTATGAATGGATATGCCTTCTGCAGAAAACTCCTGAAAATCTTATCTCAAGAAGCATTTTGAAACCAAAATAATGAAAAGAAAGGAAAGAGTCATTGGGTGAATGAAAGAAGAACTTCCTTCAGCAAGGCCTTTCTCCACCTCTAGCAAAAATAACAGATGGGAGATATGCCTGGGATAAGAAACTCAGTTCCCTATCAAGCAGAATGCAATACTAGAGAGACAACTTACAAATGGCTGCTGGATCTGACAGCATCATTGCTGTGCTCTTGGCCACTTCACTAACACGAGAGCACGCCTGCTGCCAAAGCAGAGAGTGCCTCCTCTCAAAGTGCTGCCTCTCCAGTGGTGGTTCTTGAGCAGCACTGTCTCAAGACAGCTTCAGGAACGACCAAGGGATGAAGCTTCATAGATACACTTGAAGCAGAGCACCTATTTTAATCAGCGTTCACTGTAAGAGCAGTCTGAGGATAGAGGAGAAAAGCTGTGCTCTGCCTGACCCTTTGGGCCTCCATTTTTGGCTGGTAATTAACAAAATGAACATTTGGCCATTCAGTTCTAATGAACATATCACAGTCACCACTATATCTGTGGCTTGCTCTTTGGGCAGAAGACAGTAAATAGAAAGGTTTTGTGAAATTTCCAGTATTTGATTCAATTAACTCAAATCAACAGAGAGAACTGGTCAACCACAGGAGAAAGCTATGATGACAGGTCAGACTGATTTCAACAGAGAAAGACCCAAAGCATGACTAACATGGATTTTATGAGGAAGCTTTCCCACTGTAGACACCTGTGCATTCACTCACATGAAGAAATGGGGACAAAAAGGGTTATAAAACCCAGAGTGCACTTTGGAAGATAATATTCCAAGAAAGCATCTAAAATAGGAAAAAATTATTCAATTCCATACTCTGTATTCTCTGTTGTATGGTACATAAGACCAGAACTAATTCACACAGCTCACTGCTCTTGAACTGCAATGGGAATTTCCAGAATGAACACCTGAAAAGGTAGTTTACTGGATGCTTTTCTGCACAAGAGACTGCAAACCTCTGCCTTGAATCCACCAGCTAAAGTTCTATTCACTAAGCCATTAGTTAACTTTTGTTTATTATTGTTCAGAGATAATTCCTATACAAGTACTAAGTCCAGGCTATAGACACCTAAATGGTAGAATACTCTACTAAATATCTCACAGATAGGTGTGGGTGTTCAGAGTGGGTGGCTTAAAGTACCTGCTTTGGTTGGACTGGTGAACCCAAAGCCTTGAGACGCCACGCTTCCACCACCAGAGCTGAAAGTGCCCGTAGGCTTCTGCTCTCCAAAAGATGAGCTGCCAAATCCAAAGGTCTTTGCTCCGCTGTTTCCAAACAAGCTAGAAGAGTCTGGAGAGATGAAGAACACTTGTGAAGCTCAAAACAGACAATATTCTATGTTACACTTCACTAACTGGATCAGGAGAAAGGCAAACCCCTTTTACTTCTCCAACCCCCAAGCACAAAATGAACACCACATCGAAAACAGCACCATGCACAGAGAAGCTGAGTTTTCCCCTATTCCTACAGGGCTTTGCAGTTCCACCAAGCCATTCTGGATCTGACAGACCATCAACAACCATTTATCGCTGCAATCTTGCAAATCACAGTGATGGACGATTTGTTTAGTTGCATCCTGTGCCACAGTCACTAACAGACAATCCCTCAAGTGAGAAATCACAGCACCTAAAATCAGCCTCTCCTGACAACACAAGTATCAGTCCACCACAAATTAAAGATTTTCAGCTATTCTGGCAGTGGCCAGTATTTCTTAACAGGACTATCTGACAGGGCCTTAAAGTCAGAGCCAAACTTTTCCGATCTTACTGAGAAGTGACTCAAGTTTTCATCTTTTACAAGGCTACACAGATTATGAACATCTAGTGGCAAGACACAGAATAACCATAGTTTTTATCTGGTGAACCATCTGTTTTATTTCATCACAAAACCCAGCACTGCAATAGAGGAGGGCTAAATTAGCGAGGTTAGAGAACTGACCTCAACCATTAATCCCAATGGACCGTTAAAGATGTAATAAAAGAAATGGATTTGCTCTCCCAGGGCTTGAAGCGCTACCCCTAACCACTTGCAGCTCATTCTACAGCTTCCCTTTGCTCCCCTACTTTTACCTCTTAGCCACTGCTTCCCTTTCTTTGTGCTTTTTACCTGCTGGACTCCACCCCTTCTGCTTTCCCTTTCTGCCAAACCCAAGCCACAAGTGATGAAATAACGAAGCTGCACAGTCATTAAGCAAAAGCCACAGTTAAGATGTCATTATGAAAAGCTTTTGAGACACACAAATGTACGTAACAAGCGCAGATCTGCAATAGCTGCAAATGAAAAGCAAGAGAGAGCCTGCTAGTATTTCAAGCTAATTGTTACAGCAGACAATGGTATATATGCATCTCAGCTCAAATTTTAGAGTACTACCACGACCTGTTAGCCCAGAAAATTTAAGACTAATGTGTTTTTAACTTGACTCTGGCAGTTAAAAAAAAAAAATCTTTACACTAATAGATAGTGATTGATTTTCGCATTTACTTAATCCTTTATAGCTTCGCGAAAAAAATTCTAATAGTCCCTTAAGGTCCATAGTGCAAAGAAACCTGGGGGTACCTTTAATGTATTCTTAACTACTTTTCATGCCTCCTTTTGGTAGGTTGATTGGCTGGGCAAGAAGTAACATGTGGGAGGGCTGGTATGGCATCTCACATGCAGACTGATTTAGCTAAAACACACGATGTCTTAGCTGACAACTGGAGCAGAAGAAAGGACAAGTGCTGAGTCCTTCCTCCCAAAGGGGGCTTTAACAGCATTTCTCTCATCTACCCAGCTTTCATGATGCTCGTAAGAGTTTCTGTGAGAGAACCGAAACTTAAATCTGGATAAAAACTGATGAAAGGAACTCTGTAATTCTGCTTCCTTACCAAAAGAGGATACAGCCCCAAACCAGACACTGTACATTTTTCTTTACTACATCCACGCGACTGAAAAAAAATGACATCTCCTCCTAGATGTGAAAAGTGACTGAGAACTTATCCATACATTGCAGCAAATTTTGATAAAATATCTTACATGTGCTGCATAAAGACAGCCATTTTTAGGCCAAAGCTAAAGAAGCTGTTATCCATCATACACTTGTTAACTTGGTTTCACTTAGCCAGGAGATTCTTAGCCATTTTCACAGTGTTAGGGCAGATGAGAAATAATTAAAGCTTTCTAATTTCCGACTAAGTTTGAAGAAGAAATTAAGTAACAAGAATTTAGAGTATTCAAAATTAAAGAAGTCTTTGGTCAAGAACTCCCTAAGGAATACAAATATTCTTCACACTTCTTTCATCTGCTTGTTTGTTTCAGTGGCTTCCATATTTGTTTTCCACACACCTAGAAGGAAAGATTTCAGATGACACATCATGCATACTGTCACCCCCAGAAGCCTTTCATGTTAACACAGAATTTACTGAAAGACAACTAACGGCAGAAAAGCAGATGGGATCACAAAAGCAGATGGAAATCACAGCACATTTTTTATTCTTGTTTTGTTCACTTACTCTGGGTAGCTGCAGATCCAAATCCTCCACTGGAGGAACTGAAAGGATTCTTACTGGCTGCATCCTGGCTTGGCTTTCCTCCCAAACCACTGAAGAAACCTCCACTTCTCCCACCACTTCCAGCTCCAAACAAGCCTCCACCAGAAGAAGATGGCTGCTAGAACACAAAAAGGACAAAACAAGGATATAAGAGAAATCAGAGCAGCACATTCCCCCAAAGCTGATTTTTCTGTCTCACCTATTCCTCTGAATCTCTGAAGAGGCTGATGAACCAGCAAGCAATTACCTTCCAACACATAATGCAATGAAATCTTATTTAAGTCTGCCTTAAACCTTGTCTATGGTACAGAATAATGCATTTGAATCTTGCCCTACACTGCCCACTTTCCACTTAGCATGGAATAAAGGCAGGTGACTTACTGCATCTCTATCTTATCTTGCCTGTGTTACAACATTAGTCCCTCCATACCCCTTGGAAAAGGTTCATGCAGATGCTGCCTTCATGCCCACTACAACAGCAAATATCTTCAATACAGACTGGGACATTTTTTACTGAGCGTGTCAAATTTTAGTTTTAAAAAAAAATAGAATTCAGAAATAGGTAGGGAACCCTGAACAAGACCATTTGTTTCTACAAAAGCAGTAAATACTTGCCTGGCCAAAGACAGTGCCTCCAGTATTAGCTGCTTGCCCAAACACAGAACCTGTGTTACTAGAGCCAAAACCTGCCAAGAAAAGAAAGGAAAATAAACCACCAGAACTATTACTAGTGCACACAACAATTCAGGGAGATGACAGTAGTCCAGAACAGAAAAAGGACAGGTCTCCCGTGCCAAAACACAGCGATCCAAATGATGTTACCAAGTGTATCTGGGTTGGATAAATTTAAAGTATGTGCCAACACAGAAATAATAAATTCCATTGAGAGTTTATCTGAAAGTCATTCTCCTTTTCTCTTCGGCCAACTTGAAAACAAACCCAAAATAAAAGGCCTTTTCACTTGTGGGATTGTTGCTAACAGTATAAGAGAATTGGATTTCTGTTAACATTGCTATAATAATGCTGCAAGTCATGAACAAGCACTGTAGCATTCTGATTTCCCTTGTGTGGAGGATCTGAGCTTTGTTACCTAAAGATTCCCGTTATAGATAATGAAATGTTTTGATTAAAAAAAGAACTCCCCATACCATTTCCCAGTTCACTTAAATGTGCATTTTGTAATAAAACTTGCATTTCTATAATTAGGAACACCTTTCTCAAGCAGAGTTCACTTCCCCCAGTTCAACTATTCTCTGTTACTGTAGTTAAAATGAGCAAGCAGTTTGCCTACAGTGCCATAATTTTTAATTAAATGAGCCTAATTAGTTTTTCTTCCTTGGAAATATATGTTCTCTATTATTACCATGTACTTTTCACTTTTCCCTGGGAGCTCTCTGAAGATTGTACAGACAAAGCTTCGGGAAAACAACAATATATTGAAGCAATGTGGAAAGCAAAAGGAGACTGACAGAGAAGACCTGGTCCATGCAAGTATTCAATTTAACTGTGTAGACAGGTAGCTGACGGTTATGTTACTGCTGTATTTAATTTTGAGATGTTTCCAAATGCAAAAGCGGGTTTCAGATTAGTTCCTTGCTAACCCATCACTTTGAAGGCTTAACCGTTGGGGTTTTTTTGCCATCCCAGATCCTGATACTGTACTATACCTGGCTATACATCCACTGGTGCACGTACTCAATGCAGCCCACTGAAGGAAGTGCTGCATCTGTATTCATTGTCTTGACTACAGCCTCAGAGCTGCCTTGCTACTTCAGTGTAACAATTTCCAACAACATACTTGTTTAAGATCTTTTACACTATGCTGAATCCAATCCACTTATTGTGTAACAGGCAGGACAATACATAATTAAACATTAAGTCAAGGTAGACTTGTAAGTATAAAATGAATGCAAGATTGGATTGGAAAGGCTACATTCAGAGGCCTACTAATGAGTAGTGAAGCAGAGCAAAAGCTTCATTGGTCTCCAGCATTAGCCCTCCCCCTCACAAAAAATCCCAACCAAAACCAAATACCATCAAGTGCCACAGGGGGAAAAGAGGCATTAAAACACCCTCCTTTCCCCAGTGATATACTGCTGTATGTACCTGAGCCAGGCAGCACCGCTGGGATATCACATCTCCCAGCAGTTTGGTCTTACCTGAAGCTTGGCAGAAGCTGAACCCAGCAGATGATGTTGTAGTAGTAACGGCGGCAGCGCTACCAAAGACAGATCCCGTTTGCCCAAAGCCGGTGTTCTGCCCAAACACTGGAGGGCTGCTTTGTCCAAATAACCCACCTCCAGTGCTGGCAGGTGGCTGTCCAAAGGAGAAGGAGCTGGCGCTGTTGGTGCTAGCCGGTGCTCCAAAAACATTGCCGGTGCTCGAGGCTGCCGTGGAAGCCGCTGGCTGGCCAAAGGCAGGCGCTGTCCCAAAGCCAGACTGGCTAAAGGTAAAACCACCCGAAGAACTGCTTGCTGGTTGCCCAAAGGTGGGTGCTTGGCCAAAGGCTGGCTGACCAAAGCCACCAGTAGTGGTGGTGCCAAAAGCTGAAGTACCAAAACATGAGCTGGCAGCTTGTGTGGTAGCAGTGGCAGTGGACAAGGTAGCGGCGGTGAGTTGCCCGAATGGAGAGGAGGCTGTGGTACCTGTGGGCAGTTGTCCAAAAACAGATGGTGTGGCAGGAGTCGCAGTCGTGTCACCAGCAGGCTGGCTAAATGCTGAGCCAGAAGAGCTGGAAATTGGAGGCTGAGAGAACACTGAAGAAGAGCCTGGAGAAGCAGGGGTAAACACAGAGACACCAGCTGCTGGGCTCTGAACACATGTAGTAACGTCAGAGGTAGCAGCCAACGCGCTCGTTGCTTCTGCAGGAGAGGCAATGTTTGTTGCAGACGTTGTTGTCGAGACATTTTGATCTGGTGGGGCAGATGCAGAGATGGTGGGAGGCACCGATGCCTTCAAATCACTTGTGGCAGCAGGAGTAGCAATGGCATCAGGGGGAGGCGCTGCCGGTGCGGTGCTAGAGCCTGCAGAGACGGCGTCCTCAGCTGTGGCCTGGGGTAAAGCAGGTTCTTTAACAGACTCTGAAAGCTGTATCTGTGGCTGTGATGACTGTGTCACTGGAGGTGACGATCCAGCTGCTACAGCTTCATTTTCTGATGGCTTTTCTGACACAGGTGGTAATTTGGCATCCCCTGCACTCTTACTAGAAGGTGCAGCAGAGACAGCAGTTTGTGATGAACTCAAGAAACTTCCAAATGAGAGGGATGTTGCAGCAGAGAGAGTAGAAGGGGTAGAGGTGGATGTGCTGATGGTGTTTGTTTGCTGAGTACCAAATGAAAAGGTGGGTTTGATGCCACTAGAGCTTCCAAGATTAAATACCCCAGAAGACCCTGTGCTGGTTATCTGGACGTTGCCAAAGAGATTGGCTGTGGCACTAGTGCTGATGGACGGGGATGCTGTGCCAGCCAACGTGACTGATGTTGAAGCAGCTTCTCCAACTTTTCCTAATGACAGGGGACTACTAAAAGTAAACCCAGAAGGTATTGTAGACACTTTAGTTGACTGTGCTCCTGCAACGCTGCTAGATGGTGCTTTAGTGGTGGTCTTGGCATTATCATCTACCTGACCAACTCGTAGTCCTGAGAAGCTCCCAAGAGTTTCACCAGCTAGATTGCTCTGAAACAAGTGATCTCCTGGTTTTGATGGAGGGATATCCAACTTGCCAGAGGCTGTGGAGGGAGAAGATGATGTTGTTGCAGCAGGTTTGTTTGACTGGGTGCCATCTCCTGAGGAGCTATTTCCTACTGCAGCTCCTGGAGCACTTGCTGACTTGAGAGACCCAAAAGCAAAGGAGCTCTCAGGGACTACTCCAAACTTGGAAGCACCAGCAAGCGAAAATGAATCAGGTTGGGGTGACTCTTTAGCAGGAGCTGTCAGTGAGAGAAATGTTAAAAACCGAGTTATGGTACACAAAACTTATTTATCATTCTTACAGTAACAGCATGCTTTAGTGCTTCACAGATTGTTAGAGAGCAGTCATGCCTCAAAACTATAAAGCCTCTAACCATCAGGTAACTGCCACTTCTATGTGCATTCAAGAGACAACAGTGATATCCAAAACCTTTATGAACAGGCTGAAGTGACAAACACTGTTACTTTCACATCATAGGCTCTGCTTAAACATTCTTCTCTGAGTACAGACAATTTCAGCCTTTGGCTCCCATCTCTTTTCAACAGTTTGATAAAAACATACAAGACTTGGTTACACTACAGACCACTAGCTGTTAATACCATTTTCACCCCTTCTTTCTTGGTTCAGCTAAACAATTCCTGACATTCAGCTTAAACATGGCTGAGAACAGAGTTTGGGTCATAAAAATACTTTCTGGCACTTGAAAGGTCTTCTACAGAACCAAATCTTTCTTTACAAATTCAACTATTTATAGATCACCAACCAGTTTCTATGCAGCCTGTTTTCAGCTTTGAAAGAGTAAAGAAAAGCTCTCAAATATAATTGCCAACGCACTTCCACTGAAGATGTACTGCTGTCCAAGAACGGGAAACTGCTGAAGTTTTAATGGGAGACTGGAGCAGTTTAAAGCATTGTCATTTCATTTCTGAGCACCAAACACACAGAGATTCTGGCCTGAAGGCACTGCATTGTTGTTTGGACTATGGGTTGATTTGGACAAGGTACAGGAATTCTGCATGGATGTCAAATAACAAAAAGCAAAAACTTCTTACCGCAGCTGATATTATCCTTAGGTTTTACCCAGTAAGTATTTTAAGTATATTTAAGTATATTAGTAACTGACACTGAATAACGTAGCATTTGTTTCCTCCTGAGGCACTGAAATTCCTTCTGTCCTTCCTCCATCACCAGCTAACAGACTGCTCCTACCATTCCATGGAGCAGCGTGAGGTAACTGCCCTCACACAATGCTGTGATTTACAAATCTGCCTCTGGCAGCTCCCACTCCTCCTTTCATTGGTGTTACTTACTTAAGTTTTCAGGTTAGTTGAATTTTCAAGTTTTATGCCAAGTTAGTACTCTCTGCTTAACATCAACAGAGCATTAGTAGCATTGCTGTGGCTGTGATGGTCTAAGGATATAAGCAAGCCAAGATTTTTAAGAGTGGAGATATCACAGAATCCCAATCACAGAATGCCAGGAGTTGGAAGGGACC